GCTATGGCCTCTTTGGTTCTAGCATTTCACCAAAAGTGCCAGCAAACCACCATGTGAATTCTGTCAAGATAGAGTTTATAGAACACCCAGGTATTTGCTGTCAGCTAGAAGCCTATCTTACTTGTTGTATTTGGTCGCTATTTTTCGATGTTTACCAGAGCACAGAAGGCATGGAAGTCAAAATAATCGTGGGAATTAGTAGTAGGAGGATGGTATCTTAGGTGCAAGACTTACTGCAGTGAGTGGATGCTATTTCAGTTATTTTTCATTGCCACTTATTTATTCAAATATAGATTATCCAGCATATCAGCATTTGGAAATAGAGAAAACTATTGTAAACTATTGCCTTCAACACTTAGGCAATAATCAGCAAACCCCAGCACTTTTATTCTGCCAAGAGAGAGCTTGTAGACTTCCTTAGCAATTTATAGTCAAATAAGGAACTAGTCCATGCTCTGTCTTGCAAAAACATACTCAGTGGATGGCTTGTTTGTCTCTGCCAAAGCACAGTAATGATAAGGCAACATTAATCACAGTGTTATTGTATGTGCTCTGTTTATTTCTTCCAGAAAGTTTTCCTAAGCCACAGAATCACAATGAGACGACGTGCTGGAGTTGGTGCTATTCAAAGACAGAAAATACAACAAGATAAATTTAAGGAGAAGGGAAGTGAAATTCAGGAAAACCAGTTGGAACAGGTGAGTGAGGGAGATAAGAAATGTATAGAGGTAAAGAAAAAGACCTGTTTTATGAAATATATATCTCATTTACCATTTGTGATACTGATTATTACTTAAGCTAACTTTGAAACAACCTTTTCTAACACTAGATGACTCTTCAAATGGAGAAGTTCCGTGAAAATTTGGAAGATTTTGCAGCCAAACACAAGAATGAGATCAAGAAGAACCCACAGTTTAGGAAACAGTTCCAGGAGATGTGTGCCTCGATTGGTGTCGATCCTTTGGCATCTGGGAAGGGTGAGTACATTACTTAGTTGTCATAATTACTGCTTTTCTTGTACTCCTTTATTTTTGTTTTTGGCATCGCTCTCATTGTTATTACCATGATTTTTATTCCACTGTGTAAATGGGATATTTGATTTTAGGGTTCATCAAAGGCGACAAAATTTCATATAATTTCAGGGCCTTCTTTTTTTCTTTTCTTTCTTTCTTTTTTTTATGTGTGTTTTTTCCTTTTATTCTTGTTTTTAAGATGAAGAGCTAATTCATGATTGAATAACCTATTTATTGTTTATTTTGTACATTTTGGTCATTTCATACATAGGATAGTCGTAATATTTTTTCTTTTAAGGCAAAGACATTAACAAATTATCATTTGATTTTCCATGTTCGCAATCGTTCAGCGGGCTAAAAGGCACATGTCCTGATCTGTTGTTAGTAAATTTGGGCGTCTTTGGTGCTGCAAGTCATTAAGACATCCACAATTCTTAGCTGTCATTTGACGTCTGC